TAGCCAGAGCTCTTGAATTCGAATCCGACGTTAAATCCAGCACAGAGGTACCAAGGTTGGTACAGTCATCAGGATTCAAGGCCAAAAAAGGGCAGCTTTCAGAGAAGTTTGAAGGGCATTTTAACAAACTGGGGCGCAAGAGAGCTCAATGCCGGAAACTTCAACACAGGGAAGATGCCACGGCAGGAAAGGCTGCTACCCAGAAAGGTTGTTGAAACTGTGGAGAGCAAGGATATATGAAGTGGTTAAGACATCTAAATACACAAGGCATTGTTTACATTGGCTTAAATATCTGTATCTACAGTAGCAATGGATTCGTGATGGGGAAACCGAAGTTTAATAATGAAGATGAAGACGGTTGATAAAACATTTTATTTACAAGGTTCGAACGTTTCGGAATAACTTAAGCGAAATCTGAAACTTTTGTCACAAAGATGATTATTACTAAAATTATAATATCAAATCATTAGTTTACTTAATTTTTAAGTTCACAATCACTACCAATTAAAAAACAACTCTCTTTCCTAATAAAAACATCTTCCCTCAAATTCAGCCAGACTAATATAGAGACCTAGCCTGAGACTAATATAGAGACCTAACCTGAGAATAATATAGGGACCTAGCCTGAGACTAATATACAGACCTACCCTCAGACTAATATATACACCTAGCATCATACTAATATAGAGACCTAGCCTGAGACTAATATAGAGACCTAGCCTGAGACTAATATACAGACCTAGACTCAGACTGATATATAGACCTACCCTCAGACTAATATATACACCTAGCATCATACTAATATAGAGACCTAGCCTGAGACTAATATAGAGACCTAGCCTGAGACTAATATACAGACCTAGACTCAGACTGATATATAGACCTAGCCTCAGACTGATATACAGACCTAGCCTAAAGAACTAATATACAGGCCTAGCCTCTGACTAATATACAGACTTAGCATAAGAGTAATATACAGACCTAAGCTAAGAGTAATATACAGACATAGCCTCAGACTGATATACTGACCTAGCCTAAACTAATATACAGAACTAGCCTAAGAGTAATATACAGATCTAGGCTAAAAGTAATATACAGACATAGCCTCAGACTAATATATAGACCTAGCCTAAAGAACTAATATACAGGCCTAGCCTCAGACTAATATATAGACCTAGCCTCTGACTAATATACAGACTTAGCCTAAGAGTAATATACAGACCTAGGCTAAGAGTAATATACAGTGATAGCCTCAGACTGATATATAGACCTAGCCTAAAGAAATAATATACAGGCTTATCCTAAAGAACTAATATAACGGCATAGCCTCAGACTAATATACAAGCCTAGCCTAAGAGTAATATACAGATCTAGGCTAAAAGTAATGTACATACCTAGCCTCAGATTAATATATAGACCTAGCCTCAGACTAATATATAGACCTAGTTTAAAGAAATAATATACAGGCCTAGCCTCAGACTAATATATAGACCTAGCCTCCGACTAATAATCAGACCTAGCCTCAGCATTAAACACTTATTTCAGTACAAAGATCAAGTTGCTAAACTTCTACGTTCATTCACGTGTAGTGATTGTAAGGTCACGTACATTGGCAAAACGAAACGCCATTTTAAAACTATGGTCTATGAACATTTAGGAGTATCTAACAGAACCAACCATCCACTACTTAAACTTAGCCACTCATCCATTCGCTCACATTCTGAAACCACAGGTCACAATATTTCATTTAACTATTTCTCTATCATCACCACAGGGTCTTCAGACCTTCACCTCCACATTAAAGGAAGTCTACTCATAGCTAAAGACCGCCCGACATTTAACGACTCACAAAGCTCTTTAGATCTAAAATTGTTCTAAATGTTCACACTTAGCTCAGCTGTTGTGTAATATATATATATAAAAACATTATTTCATCCGTCCATTTACCGCTTTTTCATAAAAACTATGTAAACTAATGATTATGTTATTATATTATAATTTTAGTAGTAAACATCTTTGTAACGCGATTTTCAGATTTCGCTGAAGATGGAATAAGTTATTCCAAAACGTTCGAACCTTGTAAATAAAATGTTTTATGTTTTATCAACTGTCTTCATCTTCATTATTAAACAACTGTATAAACAGGTTAGGACATCTAAATACAGAAGCTGAAAATATTGTTACCCAGATTTAAACTACACTTGAACTCTTATGTATTTAAGCCAGTGTTAATTTCTAATCGATTAGTTCGGTATGCTACCTATTAGAGCTAACTATATCATCAGGTCAAAATTATGATGAGTTTATAAAGAAAACCTTATCTAGCTGTAAAACATGAAATGCTAAAAACTGGGTTTTCACGAACCGATAAGTTTCAACAAGTCATATACCAAATTGTTGTTGTTGTCAGAAAGACGGTTCAAGTTATTGTATTATTACGAACTATAGTATCTTCGTCATGTTGTGGTAGTCAGTGTACATTGAGATTTGTTCAACAATTACTGTAGTAATTAGCACCATCTGTTCTTATTGCAGGATCAGGAATTAGGCACTACAATTCCTCCCATTGTCCTCCCTAAGGCTCAGACAAAGGTAAGGTTGAAATTTTAACTTGAAAATAAAATAATAAAAACTCGAGCTGGCTTGATTTACAGTTTCGAGAAAAATAATGATAATATTTTAATAAACCAATCAAAATTTAAAGACGTAATTTTGATTCTTAATAATGTAAAACATATTTGTGAAAACATCCAGCTTCAAATAACAACGCACGTTGGTGACTCTGCGGCAAGCCTAAAGGTTTATAACACTAAAATCCGAAATTTGATCCGGCGATGGGCAAATAACATATTTTTTTGTGAAGCTTTGTGCTTAACAACAAAATAAACAAACAATCAAAAATAATATTGTAGCATTCTTTATCACAATTGTAAATAATTTAGCTACTGGAATCTGGTTTATTAAAAATTACTTGCTAATACGTTTTAATGAATTTCAGATGAATAGGAAGAATGTTGTTTCAAGTATTATTCCACCAGCCGTAAACGAACAGCACAGATCTTACTTCGATTACCGACTAACGATACCTTCAGGAAACCAAGTGAAGTAAACTCCGAAAAGTACAAATACAAACAATCCAGGCAAAATGCTATAACACATAACTCGTAACACATTTTTAGTACTTACATGTACAGTAAGCCAAGGCTTAGGCTTAAGGAAGGAAGTTTAAGGTTTCGAGAGAGAGCCAGAACTGATCGTCAGAAAAATTCTTCGGATGAAATGTTGAGTTAGGACTTGTTAATGTGTTTCAGACATTTAGATGTATGGTATGATCAAGATTTGGTTTGCTCTTACTTAAACAATCGTAGGAAATCTAACAAAGTATCATAGCATCACCGTATCTTACAGACGAGTAGCATCAGTGAAGTAAGTTTTCTAACTTCAGGTTCAAGGGCAATTAGAAGAATGTAAAAGGCTGTTTAATTTTATATTTTATATTTCTGTGTATATATAACTAATTACTTGTTTAATTAATTAATTTAAAGCTGCTAAAACTAATGACGAAAGCGTATAACAGTATTATTTGAGTATATATATGTATCAGAATAAACAAACTTTTCTTCAAACATTAGTGGTTTGTAAAAGTACAACAGACAAGAAGAGATTTGATGAGATACCATAAGTGGACATTGGCATAATTAGAAATAACATGTATAAACGTATTACTTATCAAAAAAGTTAATAATAGGTTTAAGTAATGCGAAAATGTTCAGTGTTTCTCAATAAAGTATTAAGACGTTTTTGTTGCACTTTCCATAAACTTAATATGGCAGTGTATCGTTACCATGGTAATAGGGAATCACGTGCTCCGTTATGTATTCTGAAAGTTCTGTTGATAAACATTAAATGTAAAGTTACAAGTGGTTTTTTAAGTTTCCATTTTATGAAATAAATTTATTGAAGAATGACATTTAACCACGTCGAGAAAAATTAATGTGAAGTGTCTTGAAAAATATGATAATTGGAAAATACCAAGGTGCAATTAATTAGTAGTGTGATTAACATTACTTACGGCAGTCTAGCATCCGATAGTTATATATCACTTGTTTCTTATCTTATATACATTGGGCTGTAAACGAAATGGAGAGAAGAAACTTTTCTTTAATGTATTTACCATATAACTCTCTTTTTATTAGAATAGAGTTTAAAATAAGTGTCGAAAGTATATCAATCCATTTCAAAGACGTGTTTGCTTTAGATACTAATACAGTAATAAAATTATGATGATAAAGATTAATGATTAACGACCAATGGTTTGAGCCAAAAGAAGTACTGAGACGGATTTTTGTGAAGCATTTTGTAATTATTTTACATGTTGAATAACGTTCTTCAGTTTTATTTAACTTATGAAATAATAAAATACTTGAATGCTGTATAAAGCACTGATATATTGTTTGCAGTTTACTCCGAAACAAACTCAATAATCAAATCTGATTTATCTGGAATTTTACACAAGTAATATACAATTTATCGAGAACATGATATGCTTGTTTTACTTAACGATGTCACTTCTTATCCCTACTTTCAACATATGTTTGTTTTAGTTAACGATGTCACTTCTTATCTTTTCCTTCATCATTATATGTTTGTTTAAGTTAACGATGTCACTTCTTATCTGTATTTTCAACTTGATATGTTTGTTTTAGTTAACGATGTCTCTTCTTATCTGTCCTTTCAACATGATATGTTTGTTTTAGTTAACGATGCCACTTCTTATCTCTAATTTCAACATGATATGTTTATCTTAGTTAACGATGTCACTTCTTATCTTTTCCGTCAACAGGATATGTTTGTTTTAGTTAACGATGCCACTTCTTATCTGTAATTTCAACATACGTTTGTTTTAGTTAACGATGTCACTTCTTATTTATACCTTTAACATGATATGTTTATTTTAGTTAACGAAGCCACTTCATATCTGAATTTTCAACTTGATATGTTTGTTTTAGTTAACGATGTCACTTCTTATCTGTCCTTTCAACATGATATGTTTGTTTTAGGTAGCGATGTCACTTTTTATCTATACCTTCAACATGATATGTTTGTTTTAATTAACGATGTCACTTCTTATCTTTTCCTTCAACATGATATGTTTGTTTTAGTTAACGATGTCACATCTTATCTATACTTTCAAGAATGATCTTCTAAAATGAAAATGGTTATGGCTGATGAGAGGTGAATCGTGTGAGAACCACGTTAACGATTATAAGCTATTATTCGCTTATTTATTTTAAGATTTGCACTTGTAGATTTTTTCTGCTTTGGTTTACTCATGAGACAACATTTCAGGTCTTTACTCAATGTAAAGAGATGCATAGAGAGAACGATATTAACTTTCACACCTATAAAGCCTTAAGTAATGAGCTTAATGTTTTCTTATTTCTTCACTAACTAAAAACGCGAAACTGCTTCATCGCCGTTTTCACACATGTCACTTTTCTCTTAAGTTTACTATAGCTAAATACTATAGTTATTTTCAAATGGTATTTTGAGTTATTGTCAGATGGTATTGTTAGTTATTGTCAGAGGATATTGTTAGTTATTGTCAGATGGTATTGTGAGTTATTGTCAGATGAAATTGTGAGTTATTGTCAGATGGCATTGTTAGTTGGTATTGTGAGTTATTTTCAGATGGTATTGTTAGATTGTACTGTGAGTTATTGTCAGATGGTATTAAGTTATTGTTAGATGGTTTGTGAGTTATTGTTAAATGGTATTGTGAGTTATTGTCAGATGCTATTGTGAGTTATTGTTTCATGGTTTTCTTAGATAGTATTGTCAGATGGTATTGTGTGTTATTGTCATATGGTATTGTAAGTTGTTGTTACATGGTATTGTTAATTATTGTTGGATGATATTGTGATTTATTGTCAGATGGTATTATTAAATAGTATTGCCAGATGGTATTGTTAGATAGTATTGTCAGATGGTATTGTGAGTTATTGTTACATGGTATTGTTAGATAGTACTGTCAGATGGTATTGGGAGTTATTGTTAGATGGTATTCTGAGTTATTGTTACATGGTATTGTTAATTATTGTTGGATGATATTGTGATTTATTGTCAGATGGTATTATTAAATAGTATTGCCAGATGGTATTGTTAGATAGTATTGTCAGATGGTATTGTGAGTTATTGTTACATGGTATTGTTAGATAGT